GCAATCTTGGCTCACTGCAACCTCCATCTCCTGGGTTCAAGCCATTCTCCTGCCTCAACCTCCTGAGTAGCTGGGATTACAGGCACGCGCCACCATGCCCAGCTGATTTTTTTGTATTTTTAGTAGGGACGGGGTTTCACCATGTTGACCAGGATGGTCTCGATCTCTTGACCTCGTGATCCACCCGCCTCAGCCTCCCAAATGGCAGGCACTTATAATCCCACCTACTTGGGAGGCTGAGGCAGGAGAATCACTTGAACCCGGGAGGCAGAGGTTGCGGTGAGCTGAGATTGCACCACTGCACTCCAGCCTGGGAGACAGAGTGAGAATTTATCTCAAAAAAATATATTTTCTGTGGAGTTAGGGTCTTACTATGCTGCCCAGGCTGGTCTCAAACTCCTGGCCTGAAGCGACCCTTCCACCTTAGCCTCCCTAAGTGCTGGGATTACAGGTGTGAGCCACCACACCCAGCCCAAGTATTTTATTTTTCTATTTACGATGTACTAATACTAACGAATGATATTTTTAAGAGGCAGGGTTTCATTCCATTGCCCTGGCTGGCAGGCAGTGGTGTGATCGTAGCTCCCGGAGTCTCGATTCTCTGGGGCTCAAGCTCTCCTCCTTCCTCAGCATTTGGGACTACAGGTGGGACCCACCATACCCGGCTGTTTATTATTTTTTTGTAGAGTCTTGGTATGTTGCCCAGGCTGGTCTTGAACTCCTGATCTGGGGTGATCATTGCACCTCAGCCTCCTGAGTAGTTGAAACTACATGCAGCAGCTACTGTGCTGCCTTAATTTTTTATTTTTATTTTTGAGATAGTCTCCCTCTTGTCACCCAGGCTGGAGTGCAGTGGTGTGATCTCAGTTCACTGCAACCTCCATCTCTCAGGTTCAAGTGATTCTCCTGCCTCAACCTCTCAAGTAGCTGGGATTTCAGGCAATTGCCACCATGCCCTGCTCATTTTTCAATTTTTAATAGAGACAGATTTTCCCCATGTTGGCCAGGCTGGTCTTGAACTCCTGACCTCAGGTGATCTGCCCGCTTTGGCCTCCCAAAGTGTTAGGATGACAGGCGTGAGCCATCACGCCTGGCCTTAAATTTGAATCTCAGTTAAGTCATCAATGTTTAGGACAGGTATATCCCAAATATCTCATCATTTGGTTTTTAGTATAAGTATATCCCACACACCATTTGGGATATGCTTATACTAATGATTTGCTTTAGAGTATATAAATCTGAATATATAAATAACAAATATTGTTATTTATGCACTAAAATTTTATTTATCTAAGATTCAGATTGCATAGGCACCCTGGGTTTTGTTGGGGTTTGGGGGGTGTGCCACTCCACCCCAGTAGACAGACATACCGCAGGAGGCGAACTTGAGGGACAGGACGCAGCTCTCGTGGAGGTGCAGCTGGTACTTCTCCGGCTTACGGACATGCAGGATCTCCACGTTGCTACTCTCCATTCCGACCGCCAGCCAGTCCTGGTTAGGGCAGTGGCCCAGGGAGAAAATCTAGGGGTAAAGAGGGAAGAGATGGGGTCACGAGCCCCCATTGTTTGGTGTTGAGACGGTGTCTCTCTCTGCCACCCAGGCAGGAGTGCGGTGGCGAAATCATGGCTTACTGCAGCCTCCATTTCCACAGCTCAAGTGATCCTCCTGCCTCAGCCTCCTGGGAAGCTGTGACTACAGGCGTGCACCACCGCATCTGGATAATTTTTTTTTTGAAACGGAGTCTTACTGTGTCACCCAGGCTGAAGTGCAATGTCGCAATCTGAGCTCCCTGCAGCCTCCATCTCCCAGGTTCAAGTGATTCTCCTGCCTCAGCCTCCCAAGTAGCTGGGATTACAGGTACCTGCCATGCATGCCCAGCTAATTTTTGTGTTTTTAGTATAGAAGGGCTTTCGGCATCTTGGCCAGGCTGGTTTGGAACTCCTGACCTCAAGCGATCTGCCATCTTGGCCTCTCAAAGTGCTGGGATTATAGCTGTGAGCCACCGTCTCTGGCTTATGAGCCCCTTTGGATATTGGGGGGTGCCCAGCACCAGCAGGGGTTGGGGGGTGGAGTCCAACCTTCTCCCTCTTCAGCTCCCCCCAGAGAAAGGCAGCTGGCCCAGGACTGAGAACACAGCAGACAAGTGCATGTCGAATCATTAATATTAATCAGAATTACATAGAACCCTAGGGCCACACATCCATTATCTGCTCTGAGCGCACGACAGCACAGGGAGGAGGGAGGGAGGGACAGAGGAGGGAACGAGCACGCAAGGACAATCATTCCCCTTAAGCAGATGGTGGAAGCCAAGGCAGTGTCCCCTCAAGGTCACACAGCAAGGCTATGAAAGAGGAGGACTCAGCCCGGCGCGGTGGCTCATGTCTGTAATCCCAACACTTTGGGAGGCTCAGCCAAGTAGATCACCTGAGGTCAGGAGTTCGTGACCAGCCTGGCCAACACGGCGAAAGTCCATCTCTACTAAAAATCCAAAAGTGAGCTGGGCGTGGTGGCGTTCACCTGTAATCTCGGCTACTCTGGAGGCGGAGGCAGGAGAATTGCTTGAGCCCGGGAGGTGGAGGTTGCAGTGAGCTGAGATCACGCCATTGCACTCTAGCCTGGGTGACAGAGCGAGACTTCGTCTCAAAAAAAAAAAAAGACCAGGCCTTGGAGCCAGGACTTCTCACTTTGAGTTTGGAATATTCACCCCCACCTTTTTTTTTTTTTTTTTTGAGACAGGGTCTCGATCTGCTGCCCAAGCTGGAGTGCACTCGTGCATGCATGACGACCTGCAGCCTCAGCCTCCTCCAGCCGCAAGCCTCCCAAGTAGCTGGAATCACAGGTGCATGCCACTGTGTCTAATTTTTCATTTTTTAAGAAGGAGCAAGGTCCTGCTCTGTTTCCCAAGCTGACCTCAATCTCCTAGGCTCAAGTGATCCTCCAGCCTCAGCCTCCCGTAGTGCTAGGATTACAGGTGTCAGCCACTGAGCCTGGCCTGGAGCATTCCCCATTTGCAATACTGCTTTTCGGTTTGATTCTAAAGGATTCAGGGTCCTCATCCTTCTGCAGCCACCCCATTTTAGGCACACATAGGAATCGGGTCCTGTTCCACCCTAAACCTCTTGGAGTCTCACTAATACATAACACACCTGTGGAAATAAGCACACATTACAGCATAGAAGACTGGGGGGCTTCAAATGTCCTTTTCTGGCCATCCAGAGGTGCTCCTGCGTAAACACGCGGTGGGAGGCACCCCGTGAGCTAGGAGGTATTCACCATGGGCTCCCTAGAAATGTATTTAGCCCACCCAAGCTTCGGGGACATGGGACGGAGAGCTACCTCCACCAGTACTCCTGATTTTCCTATTAAAGAAATCATCAAATGAGGCTGGGTGCAGTGGTAAATGCCTGTAATCCCAGCACTTTGGGAGGCCAAGGTGGGTGGATCATGAGGTCAGGAGTTCAAGACCAGCCTGGCCAACATGGTGAAACCCCATCTCTACTAAAAATACAAAAATTAGCTGGGTGTGCTAACGGGTGCTTGTAATCCAGCACTTTGGGAGGCTGAGGTGAGTGGATCATGAGGTCAGAAGTTCAAGACTAGCCTGGCCAACATGCTGAAACCCTATCTCTGCTAAAAATACAAAAATTAGCTGTGTGTGGTGACCGGTGCCTGTAATCCCAACTACTCTGGAGGCTGAGACAGGAGAATTGCTTGAAGCCGGGAGGCGGAGGTTGCAGTGAGCCAAGATCGTGTCACTGCACTCCCATCTTGGAGGCAGAACGAGGCTCCGTCTCAAAAACAACAAAAAACCCCCAGAAATCATCAAATGAAAGAGAAGACCAGGCTGGACATAAAGAGCTTGGGAGGGTGGGAGCAGTAGCTCACGCCAGTAATTCCCACACTGGGAGGCCGAGGTGGGTGGATTACTTGAGGCCGGGAGTCCAAGACTAGCCTGGACAACACAATGAAACCTGGTGTCAAAAAAAAACACAAAAATGAGCTGGGCATGACGGTGCATGCTTGTGGTCCCAGCTACTCTGTGGCTGAGGCACAAAAATCATTTGCACCTGGAACGTGGAGGTTGCAGTAAGCTGAGATCATGCCACTGCACCCGTCTCAAAAACAAGAACAACTTGGGAGTTCAGAGTTAGTTCCTCTAAGGTTTCAAGGAGGAGGAGCAAACCAGATGGGCCTTGAGGGATGAATAGGAGTTTGCCAATTACAGAAACAAGACAAAGGCATTTCAGCCACAGGGAACAAATGTGCAGAGGTCTCAGAGCCATCCCAGAGAACGGTGTGCATGAGACTAGTGCGTGGAAATCCTGCATGACAGAGCAGGAGCTCACACCCTGCCCCCAAAGCAGAGACAGGCAGAATCTGGGGCCACGGTGCCTGAAGATTCACTCTCTTTGTTCAGCCCTGAGGAGTCCCCCAGCTGTGTCCAGCCCATTCACCATGGCCTTCAACCTAAGCTCCACCTTCAATGGCGACCTATCCACACCCAGCTCCTCCTACATCAACCTCCACTCTGTTCCCCTGGCCAGTAACTCCCCCATGGTGAGTCCTCAATGGGAAGTGTGTGTCTAGCACTCCCAGTGGGATCTGGAAATTAAAGACTGAGAGAAGAACCCAGCTACACCAAGGAAAGACAGACATAAGGGAATGGCTGAACAAAGGCAAGTGGAGAAAATGATCTGAGGGTCTCAATGGCCCCACAGCTTCATATAAATCAGCTCTCGGCCGGGCGCGGTGGCTCACGCCTGTAATCCCAGCACTTTGGGAGGCCGAGGCGGGTGTATCACGAGGTCAAGAGATCGAGACCATCCTGGTCAACACGGTGAAACCCCGTCTCTACTAAAACTACAAAAAATTAGCTGGGCATGGTGGTGCGTGCCTGTAATCCCAGCTACTCAGGAGGCTGAGGCAGGAGAATTGCCTGAACCCAGGAGGCGGAGGCTGCGGTGAGCCGAGATCGCGCCATTGCACTCCAGCCTGGGTAACAAGGAGCGAAACTCCGTCTCAAAAAAAAAAAAAAAAAAAAAAAAAAAAAAAAAAATCAGCTCTTTTGGGTTCCCCTACGTCTTCAGAGAATTAAAGTGGAAGCCTGTGGACGTATATGGATGACAAGCAAGATGGATGCCACAGCAGATGTTAGTCCTGTCCTGCCTCTGGAAGTGGCCCTACACGAGGAGAGGAAGGGACTCGGATTTCTAGAGCTTCCATCCCCCTCCCACCAGCACCGAACAGCACCTGGGAGCTGAAGTCGTGCTGCTGCAGCTGGCGGCCCTCCCGCAGGTCCCAGCAGCGCACCGTGTTGTCCAGGCCCCCTGTCCAGAGCCGAGTACCATAATCAGAAATGTCAATACAGCTGGCGCCGTCTGTGTGGCCCTGGAACTGCCTGGAGGAAGAAGGGCCCAGGCGTCCATCCCGGAATTGGAGCTGCCCCAGCAACCTCCCGGGTCAGTCCTCCACCCCACTGCACAGAGAGCGGCCAGGGGCTTGCCCGAGGTCCCAGCGCACCTGACCATCGTCTGGTTCTGCAGGTCCCAGACCACAATGTTGCCATCGCTGCAGCAGGAGAAGCAAACCTTGGCGTCGGGGCTGACGGCCAGGGCGTAGCAGGCTGGGGCCGAGGAGGTCAGCTCAGCCTTGATACGGGGGGTGGGCGCTGCCAGGTCCCAAATGGACAAGGTGCTGGCCTCACCGCCCACGATTAGACTCCGGCCATCTGGCAGCAACTTGCAGGAGCGAATGTAGTTGTCTCGGTTCTGGGTCCAGGAAGAGAATCAGGCTGGGGGTTGGTCCCAGGTGAGGTCTCCAGGAGCCTGGCTTCAGGTGGGGGTCTCTGGAGCCTGCCATCCCTACCCTGATGGGCCAGCAAGCCCTGCCCCTTCGGCCCACACACACTGTTCCATTACACTGTGAGCTCTGTTCTTCACCTACAATCCCTGCCCATGGTAGGCCTGCAAACCTTAACCTGATTGGCCAGTGAGCCCCATTCCTTTGGCCTGCAAACCCCACCCCATTTGACAAGCTCCACCCTCCACCTGTAAACGCCACGCATGGTTGGCCTGAAAACCCTGTCCTGGTTGGCCTGCAAGCCCTACCCTAATTGACTGGTGAGCCCCACCCCTTTGGCCTGCAAGCCCCGCCCCATCTGACCATAAGCTCCGCCCTTCACCTATAAGCCCCACCCATGGTTGGCCTGCAAACCCTATCCTGGTTGTCTTGCAAGCCCAACCCTGATTGGCCAATGAGTCCCGCCACTTTGGCCTGCAAGCCCCGCCCCATCTGACCATAAGCTCCGCCCTTCACCTGTAAGCCCCACCCATGGGTGGCCTGCAAACCCTATCCTGATTGGCCAATGCACCCCACCACTTTGGCCTGGCCTCATGTGACTACAAGCTCCACCCTTCACCTGTAACCCCACCCACAGCCGGCCTGCACACACCGCTCTATTTGAATATAAGCTCCACCCCTCACCCGTGAGTCCCGCCCACTGTCCCACCCTGCCCTCACCAGGCAGTCGAGCTGGGCCACAGGTGTCTTGGCCCCAGGCTGGCCCACGTCCCACACCTTCACACAGCCCTTGCCACCCGTGTACACGTGCTGCGTGGAGCCGCTGATGGTGACCGCACAGACCACCTCGCCGTGTGCCAGCGTGTGCAGCTGTCGGGCGTGCCGTGGGATGCCCGCGCCCACCAGTGCGTCGGAGGGGAAAGGCACCGGCTGCATCTGCCCGTCTGCAGACACGTGGAAGGAGTAGGCCCTGGAGAGAAAGCCTGGGCATGACCTAGTCCTGGGAACGCCCCTCCACACCCCAACCTGGGAGACGCCTTTGTCCTGCCTGGCACCGGATGATGTATTTTTTTTTTTTTTAAAGACGGGGTTTCACCATGTTGGTCAGGCTGGTCTTGAACCCCTGACCTCAGGTGATCCACCCACCTTGGCCTCCAAAGTGCTTGGATTACAGGCATGAGCCACCACGCCCGGCAGATGATGTATTCTTTTTACTTTTTGTTTTGTTTTTGTTTTTGTTTTTTTGAGATGGAGTCTCGCTCTATCGCCCAGGCTGGAGTGCAGTGGCACAATTTCGGCTCACAGCAACCTCTGCCTCCTGGGTTCCAGCTATTCTCCTGCCTCAGCCTCCTGAGTAGCTGGGATTACAGGCATGCACCACTGTGCCTGGCTAAGTTTTATGTATTTTTAGTAGAGACAAGGTTTCACCGTTTTGGCCAGGCTGGTTTTGAGCCCCTGACCTCAAGTGATCAGCCCACCTCAGCCTCCCAAAGTTCTAGGATTACAAGCATGAGCCACCAAGTCCGGCCTGATGCATTTTTGTTTGAGATGGAGTCTCTGTCATGCAGGCTGGAGTGCAGTGGCACTATCTGGGCTCACTGCAACCTCCACTTCCCAGGTTCAAGTGATTCTCCTGCCTCAGCCTCCAAAGTAGCTGGGATTACAGGCATGCATGGGCCACCACACATGGTTAATTTCTTTGTATTTCTAGTAGAGTCAGGGTTTCACCATGTTAATCAGGCTGCTATTGAACTCCTGACCTCAAATGATCTGCCCACCTTGGCCTCCCAAAATGTTGGGATTGAGCCACGGCGCCCGGCCCACACAAGAGACTTTCTAGAAGGGGAGCAGGGAGACCCCAACCACACAGGGTAAGACCTCAAAGGAGGTGGGGGGCTGCCCCAGGTTCCCAGGCAGGGAGCCCCACCCTGGTACTCACGGCTTTCCTCCGGGGATGCTGGGTAGCGAGGAAGAGACGGATGACCCTCGGAGATGCGGGTGAGACTCAAATGCCATCTGTCAGAATGCCAGAGGGGGTGTCAGTGAGGCAGGTGACTCTGACTCCAACCCACCTCTGTGCTGTCCCATGCCCCCATTTATCAGCCCCTACTAAGGAAGCAGAGCTGCCTTCGACTCTGCCTGTCACACTCCAGGTGGGAGGGCTGAGGTTTCTGAGGGCACCGACCCCAGCATCTCTCTGTCCAGGAAATCCTAGAACTCCAGCGTTCCAAGGATCCTGAAGACTTCATCGAATGCCCAGACTGGCTCTAGAACAGGAGTCTGCAAACTGCAGCCCCCCAGACAAATCTGGTCCAATACCTGTTTCTGTATATAGCATCCCAAAGCCAAGGCTCTACTGCTCCTTTTCATGCAGCTTAATCACCGTTGCTTTTTTCCACAGTCACAAGTCCTGCTTTGTATTAAGCTTGTGAGACTACTGAGACCCCCAGATCATCTTCCCATGAACACTTGCTGAGCCAGGGCTCCCTTCCCTTTCTGCACTCCCTTGTCTTTCCTTGTATAGTTGGTTTCTCCTCCCAGCCCCCAGCCCCTGGGCCCTGCTAACACCTCCTGTACCCCCAACCCAAGGACTCACCATGGGGGAGCGTCCATATACCACAGAGCTGCTGACCTGCGGGGACAGGTGGAGGCTGACGTAGGAGCTGGGCACGGAGAGGTCTCCGTTGAGGGTGCTGTGGGAGCCTAGGCTGAACGACGTGGTGAAGGGACTGGACAGAGTCAGGGGGCTCCTCAGGGCTGAGAGGGAAGAGTCGGGGACACATCTTCAGACACCCCGGACTCAGATCCCGCCTCCCACTGCCTTGGGAGCTCCCTGGCCTTTCATTCAGAGTTTCCACGCTCTGGTCCCACATGGGCCACAGCCTGGGACACCTCCAGACCTCTGCCCATACCGTTCCTCCAGTGGACACGACTTTCTCTTTCTTTTAATTGACAAACTCCTACCCATCCTTCAAAACCCAGGCCCAATGTCCATTCACATCTCAGAAACATCCTTGAGCCTCCTCATTGCCAACCTCCAGCCTTGCCCATCTTGGGTTCCTCCTCCTGTACCAGCCCTGATTATACAGGGCTGTGAGTGCTGGGGTCTGGGTCTCGTCCCTTGTCACCCAGGAGTTCCATGGGGGCGGGATTCAAGGCCAACTTCTTTCAGGGACCCCAGAACCAGCACAGGCCCTGGTCGTAAGGCAGAAAAGATGAGCACTGTCATTCCCCAGGTGACTGATGGGGAAACTGAGGCTCGGAGAGGCTAGGTCACTTGCCTAAGGTCACCCAGCTGGTGAATGCCCAGGCCTGTTCTGAAACCCAGGCCTGTCTGACCCCAAAGCCTGTCTTTTCAGTGCACTAGGCTGAAACCCCAGCCAAGTCACTTCCACTCTCCAGGCCTCAGTTTCCCTACCCGTCAAGCTGAGACAATGAGGAACCACCCACAGGGAGGCAGCGTCTAACCTGAAGTCACGAAGGGACCAAGGCCATGAATGCCAAGCCTGGAATCCCAGCCTCCTGCCTCGCCAGCCCCTTTTACTAGCTGTCCCCAGAGACGAGGCCTGCCCCAGACAGGTACCAGCAGGCAAGGTGCTCACCGATGCTGTCCGTGGAAGGCGCTGGCTTGGCAGCGAGCTGGCAGAGGTGACTGGCTGAGCTGGGCCCGGGGGTGGATGCTTCCTGGGGTGGGGAGGAGTCACAGGACTTGGAGGCAGGAGTGCTGGCGGGAAGGTCATTCTGCAGAAAAAGGGGAGGACTGAATGGCACCAGGCATCTGGTGTCTTGTGGCCCACCAATCTGATCAGAAACTGGAGGGGCAAGTTTCGGGCTCACGCCTGTAATCCTAGCACGGTGGGAGGCCAAGATGGCTAGATCACCTGAAGCCAGGAGTTCAAGACCAGCCTGGCCAACACCCCTTCTCTACTAAAAATGTAAAAACTGGCCGGGCGTGGTGGCAGGTGCCTGTAATCCCAGCTACTGGGAAGGCTGAGGCAGGAGAATCACTTGAACCTGGGAGGCAGAGGTTGCAGTGAGTGGAGATTGTGCCACTGCCCTCCAGCCTGGCGACAGAGGGAGACCCACTCTCCAAACAAAAACAAAAACAAACAAACAAACAAAAACTGTACAAGGGAAGGGAGCAGGTATACTAGGGCAGCCCAGTGCTCAGAGAGCCCTGCAGGTACTCACACCAGGGAAACGAGCCCCAATGAGGATCTCAACGCCAACTGACTGAACCGGGGGAAGTGTGAGTCCATCCCCACCAGAGGGCTAACTGGGCACCTGAGCAGGATGGGCAGGCAGCATCCGCCCACGAGGGTGCACATGTGTGCACGCTGCAGTGAGCCAACTCACGCCTCCACCATAAGAATGTGCGTGCATGGACGGGCGTGGTGGCTCACGCCTGTAATCCAAGCACTTTGGAGGCCAAGGCGGGTGGATCACCTGAGGTCGGGAGTTCAAGACCAGCCTGACCAACATGGTGAAACCCCGTCTTTAAAAAAATAATAAAAAATAAAGAGCCAGGCGCAGTGGCTCAAGCCTGTCATCCCAGCACTTTGGGAGGTCGAGGTGGGAGGATCACCTGTGGTCGGGAGTTTGAGACCAGCCTGGCCAACATGGTGAAACCCCATCTCTACTAAAATTACAAAATTAGCCGGGCGTGGTGGTGCCTGCCTGTAATCCCAGCTGGGTTGAGAGAGGAAAATCGCTTGAACCCAGGAGGCAGAGGTTGTGGTGAGCTGAGATCGCGCCATCGCACTCCAGCCTCAACAATGGCGAGACGCCGCCTCAAAAAAATTAAGAGGGCCGGGCGCGGTGGCTCACGCCTATAATCCCAGCACTTTGGGAGGCCGAGGCGGGCAGATCACGAGGTCAGGAGATCTAGGCCATCCTGGCCAACATGGTGAAACCGTCTCTACTAAAATACAAAAAATTAGCCAGGTGCGGTAGTGCACGCCTGTAGTCCCAGCTACTCGGGAGACTGAGGCAGGAGAATTGCTTGAACCCGGGAGGCAAGTTGCAGTGAGCCAAGATCGCACCACTGCACTCCAGCCTGGCAACAGGGCGAGACTCTGTCTCAAAAAAAAAAAAAAAAAAGAAGCCAGCAAAGTTACAAAGTTATAGGTTGTCAAGATTTGAGGGCTTTTGTTTGTTTGTTTGTTTTTGAGACAGAGTCTTGCTCTGTTGCCAGGTGCCAGGCTGGACTGCAGCGATCTCGGCTCACTGCAACTTCCGCCTCCAGGGTTGGAGCAATTCTCCTGCCTCAGCCTCCAGGGTAGCTGGGACCACAGGCACGCACCACCACACCCAGCTAATTTTTGTATTTTTTAGTAGAGACGGGGTTTCACCACGGTCTCCATCTCCTGACCTCGTGATCCGCCCGCCTCCGCCTCCCAAAGTGCTGGGATTACAGGCATGAGCCACTGCGCCCGGCCGAGATTTTTTTAAGACAGAGTCTTGCTCTCAAAAATGTCACAATCACAGCTCACTGCAGCCTCGACCTCCCTCACTCAAGCGATCCTCCTGACTCAGCCTCCCAAGCAGCTGGCACTCCAGGCGCATGCCTCGACGCCCGGCTAACTTTTTTTTTTTTTGAGACGGAGTTTCACTCATGTTACCCAGGCTGGAGTGCAATGGCGCGATCTCGGCTCACCTCAACCTCCGTCTCCTGGGTTTAGGCAATTCTCCTGCCTCAGCCTCCTGAGTAGCTGGGATTACAGGCACGCACCACCATGCCCAGCTAATTTTTTGTACTTTTAGTAGAGACGGGGTTTCACCATGTTGACCAGGATGGTCTCGATCTCTTGACCTCGTGATCCACCCGCCTCAGCCTCCCAAAGTACTGGGATTACAGGCTTGAGCCACCGCGCCCGGCCCCCGGCTAACTTTTTAAATTTTTCATAGAGACGAGGTCTCGCTACGTTGTTGCCCAGGCTGGTCTCCAGCTCTTGCTCCTGCCTTGGGCTCTCAAAGCGCTGGGATGACAGGCATGAACCATCGCCCCCGGCCCCTGTTGAGATTCTTGAAGAGCAAGGAATTAGAAACTCCGGGAGGGGCTCCCGGAGAGGCAGACCCCACAGCGGCGTATTCCCAGGTGAAGGAAAAGCCCCCACTACACAGTGCAATCCTCCTTGTTCCCCACCAAGAGGGAGGTGTCACCCAGAGCTGTCCCTCCCCAAGGGGAGCTCTGACGAAACCAGCAGCTGGACCAGCATCGAAGGCAGGCTCTGTTATCTCGCTTCATGTCATCACCTCCCCGCCTTCCAAGAAACTTCCCATCCTTGTGTCTCGTCTGTCTCCGCTTCCCACGACACCATCGCACAAACTGTGACAGCCGCACAGCTCCGGCACCCGCGAAAGACTGGAGGGGACAACTGTGGCTTCTCCAATGCAACAGAGCTGCCCCGTCTGTCCCCTTGTGAGGTTTTCCCGCAGTGGGAGGAGGGCACTTAAGATGGAATGGGAGCCCCAGCCTCTGGTGGTTGCCATGGTAACCTGCCAGGAGGGGAGGCCTCGAAACCGGGAGGGGATGCCTCGAAACCGACATACTCTTCCCCTGGTAAGTGCGAGGGAGGGGGATCTGGGGAAGATTTGGGGTGAGGGGAGCTGCAAAAGGAGCTGAATTTCAAATGCCCTCGGGGTGCTTTTAGATGGCTCACGTGCCTGGCATTAAACTCCAGGAGATCCAACGGGAGAGTTGTTTCTATATTAATTATCTTTCCTTCCAGGGACAGCATCTCGGCTTGGGGCTGGTGCGTCTGTAAGCGCCTCTGGAAGGGCGAAGCACATGCAGGCCTGGGTCCAGCCTAGCTAGCTGCCCATTCTATGGCTGGGCTTTCACCGTGTTTATTTCCATAGGATTTCCTATCGATTGCCAGAGACCTGCTTTCCATGTAAGGTGGTGAACTGCCTTTTCAAACGTACCTAGAAAGCTTCTTTATAAAGTTGCCTTTTAGTACTTACTGAGGTTCAAGAAAGTCAGTCCAAGCAGGTTAAAAAAAAAAAACACACATGGCCGGGCGCGGTGGCTCAAGCCTGTAATCCCAGCACTTTGGGAGGCCGAGGTGGGTGGATCACGAGGTCAGGAGATCGAGACCATCCTGGTCAACACGGTGAAACCCCGTCTCTACTAAAAATACAAAAAATTGCCGGGCGCAGTGGCTCAAGCCTGTCATCCCAGCACTTTGGGAGGCCGAGG